GGATGACTGGATCACATCGTTTCTCTCTTAGGTGGTGTTGGGATTCAGTGACTAAAATTTAGGAGGTATGTCGGGAGGATGTTGTATGGGGTGTTTGGATACTAATAAAAAAATAAATTACATAATCCGTCAGTACTCCACGAGACAAAATTTTTAAGCCTAATTAATCCGTTATTAGCACATGTTTATTATAGCACCACATTGTCAAATCATAGACTAATTAGGCTTAAAAGATTCGTCTCACAAATTAGTCGTAAACTATGCAATTAGTTTCATAATTAGTCTATATTTAATACTCCATACATATGTCTAAACATTCGATGGTACAACGACTAAAATTTAGCAACTAAACATCACCTTACTTTTTTCTGAACAAGTCGAACGATAGCCAGATTGAACATGTCGAGCGGCAAATCACATGTCCTTTTACTGTTTCAGCACTCCCATATAGCTTAAAGAAGTCAAGACAGAATTTGAGTTTAGACTCGACAATTCTTTGATGCAAACGTGATCAAAATACATAAAAGTTTTAACTTGTTGACAGTGACGGCTGGTATCGGCTTCCGCCCTCAGCATGTACACCAAACTAAGGCTTTCGGCACATTTACACAAGAAAGATCGTACAGAAATTATAGCTGAATAAGCACTCAAAGTTTCAGATTCAACAAACTTGTCAGCTCTGGGCTGTTACAGTAACATTACTATTGTAATAATCTATAGACCAATCAATTTAATACCCGTCAACACACATATATCAAGGTCTCAATAGTCAATACAATAGGTAATTAAAGAACATGTCCTTCCAGCAACTAAAATGGAACTCGAAGAACTTTGCCCAAAATCTTTGTCAGTCACTTCTCAGTGGACAGCAGCAACCACTAGTCACATGATTAGCTCCAAAGGTCGTGGCTGCCGGTGCCGGACCACCAAGACGCCCCCCTCGGCGGCAGGACGGGAGCAGAGGGCATGCCGCACTCGAACGCCATGGTTTCATGGTTGGTACGAAAAGTAGAGGACCAAGCATCCCGCCCGCAGAACAAGTCGCCGACGTCCCTGACAATTTCCCTGGAGCAGTTCTCGAGTGTAGGAAGAGCGCCGCCAGTCATCGAGTAGCCACAGTCGAACGCCGCCTCTGGTTCAGGCCAAAATCTGGAAAAATATGATGTGTCGCCGACCTTCATTTGCGACGTTGCTGCCTCGCCGTCTGCCTTGGACATCAATGCAGTCTGATGTGTCAACTATCTTTCCCTGCGATGTTGCTACCTCACCATGTGATGACTTGGACGTCAAGGGAAACCAATCTGATATGTCACTCATCTTCCCCTGCGACGTGGCTGCCTCGCCGTCTGCCTTGGACATCGACGCGATCCAATCTGGTGTGTCACAGATCTTGTCCTGCGACGTTGCTGTCTCGCGCACAATCTGACCTTATGAGTTGACCTGTTCTTGCAAACTGACCGCCGAAGCTGGGGCAGGAGAATCGAAAAGCCGTGACGGGAGCAGAGGCCTCGTCGATAGCCTTCCTCTTGCGTGTTGAGGCAGAGCATGATAGCCTCGACGCGGATCCGCTGCTTCTGCGTGAATGGGTGTGCGCCTTGTAGATCTTGCAAAGAACCAGCTGGGGCTCGCCGCCGTGGACGTGCTCATGGTCGGCTTCTTGATCGTGGCTGAACTCCATGTACTACTCCATCCTCTCACTACAGTTCTTCAGTTCTTCTCTCTTGAGCTTGTAGGAGAAATACTGGCTGTGGCCGTCGCAATTGCCCTTGTCGTCGAACGCGCGGCGGGGAGCACGCTCCCAGTGCCACACGCCCACACTCCATCGGCAACCTGTCGCGACTTTGCGACTGTTGGTGCTGCTCTTGGGCCTCACACGGGCGAAGAAGAACCATGAGCCGCGCTCTCCTTTCTTCGCCGGAGCCGGCTCGAAGAGCATCGTGGTCAGGACTGGGTCGGCGGTATAGATGTCGGCATCGTGGAAATGTGCTGCGGCGGCAGCAGGTGGGGCTCACCGGTGATCTTCCGGCCAAGGAAGAAGCCTGTCCTCCAACGGCGTGAAGGAGTAATCGCCGGACAGCGTGGTCTCCGAAAAGAGAGAGGAGGCATGGTGGTCAGGACAAAGAGGCGGCGGAGGATTTCCGACCTGGGGTAAAAACGCGGCGGGAGGGAGAGAGACAGGGGCACAAGGAATTTAAAAAATTGCCATCCTTCCCAACGGCGCTTGTTCAGTTGCTAACTTTGTTTTGGCAATATACAAATTTGCCATATGAACAGTAGACGACGCTATACATTTGTCACTTTAGGCGACGTGGCAAACCAACTCACTCTGCCAACGTGTACAGACCGTGGGAAATGTCCTTTGCACCCCCTGCCTGATCTCTTTCAACCCATCTTCTCCCTCTCATTGTCTCACTTCCATGTGGACGGGCTCCCATCTCCTTAGTCCACAGCCGACCCGAGCCACCATGGCTGCCTTCACGTGCCCGCGTGCGACCTCGAGCAGTACCACGTGCCATCCTCGTCGGGCGCGCTGCTCCCGACCCTGGGGGTGGCGCAGAAGCTGGCGCCCGTTCTTGACGGTGCACGTGCTGGTGGCGGCGGAGCAGTGCCAGCAGGCGCAGAGGTGGACGGGCTGGGTACAAGCGCCTGCGCGCGGGGCAGGAACGGGCGCGCAAGCGGCAGTGCGAGGCGGCGGCCATGGAGGTCGCCGCTCCTGCACCCGCCCCTTGTGGCTGCCCCTGCGTGCGTCCATGGCGCACGCGGTGCCCAAGCCAACCGGCACAAAACGGGCGACCGAGCCTACATGTTCCCGCAGCAAGCTCGAGCTGTGCGCACGCCGCGTCCATGGCAGCTCGTGTGCCTCCCCGCTGCCCTTCTTGAGCTCCCAACGAACTATGGTGGCCGTTCCTGCGAGCTCCGTCCGCCGCCGCCGCCGCCGTTACTGGGCTCTGGTGTGAGGTGTCTTCATTCCTACGCCACAACCAATCACGTGGTGAGCTCCCACGCACTAGGGCGACCCTCAGTGCCGGTCCTACCATTTGAGGGTACTCTGGCGAACTCATCGTGACCGCTCTAAACCATGTATAAAATCTTAACATAAGTTTTAGGTTGTTTTTTCTTTTCTTAGCCCCCGACAAATGATTATTAGGTAACATTCTAAAATTATAACATCTAAATTAGAAGAAAAGCATAACTATATTAGTACAGAGTACTATTAGAAGTCTGAAATACTATAAAAATAATTAATTTGGATTAAAAAATGAATAAGGAAAAAATACCTAGAGCCTGATCCCGGTGAACAAAACTGAACGGCTGATGCTGAATTGCTGATCGCAAAACTGATCGGCGTCGTTCATTGGTGGAGCCCCGGACCTGGAGGCCTGGATGCCTGGTCGCCGCCGCCGGGCGCTGTGTCCGTCTGATGTCCGTCTCTCCCCGTCTGTGGCGGCGCGCAACTCCTCGTTCGTCACTCATGGACATCATGGTCTTTGCGCGACTGCTCGGCTGCTTGCGAGGTCATTAAATCGCTAATGGATTATGGCCCCGTTCGCGTGTCCTTAAACCCGGCTTGATCCACTTCTTTTTTTTATCTGGAACAGTGTTTTCTCTCTCACAAAATTCCTCCAGCATTACTCCAAATCATCCAAAATCCTCCAAGCGAACAGGCCCTATAGGGCCGAGGGTTTTCTATACCTTGGATTGGGCCCCTCCCTCGCCTGAGCCCTCGGCCGTCGCACTCCGTGACCCTCCCCTAGGGCCGACACTGGCGACCCTCCCTAGCTCTTCATTTGTGTTCGACTAGTTCATAATCTGGTCGAGCGCTGTCGTTTGCTGCATCAATGTCGGTGCTCCGGCGACCTTCGAGTCCGAGCTCGACCGGGTCGCGCGGATGCCGCTTTCGCAGTTGCGCTCACTCCCCGCGCGCATGTGCATAGTCGTGCACTGCCGCACCAAGCGTCGGCTGGTTGCGTGCCTGCGACGTGCTCTGCTCTAAACGGCAGGAGGTAGATGATGACAAGTGGGATCCACATGGAAGTGAGACAATGAGAGGGAGAAGATGGGTTAAAAGAGATCAGGCAAGGATATTTTTCACTGTAGAGTGAGTTGGTTTGCCGCGTCGCCTAAAGTGGTAAATATATGGTACCGTTTACTGTTGATGTGGCAAATTTGTAATTGTCAAAACAAAATTGACAACTTAAAATAAGGGGAAAATTGGCTGCATACCATCAAAAGATGTCAAGTTTAGCTATCTACCATCAAAAGATGTCGAGATTCCTTCTTTGCTGTATAGCACCGAAAGGTCACAAAGTTGTTGGTTTCTACCACTTCCGTTAACTTCGCTAACGTCCTGTTGTATCTCCGTTCTCGAATCATCTTCTTCGAAGCCTTTCCACGAAGAACACGGGCACGCAGCAGGCAAGGATGGCGTCGGGTTGGCCTGGCACTCGCCACTGCCAGCCCGGGAGGCGAAGGCCGGCGTGGCAGCAGGATTGGTCTCGGGGAGGAACATGAGCGAGGCGAGAAGGATCCAGTGGTCTCCCTGCTGACGGTGACCTTGGCAGCAAGGGGCGCTTCGCCATGGGGGTTCTTCCTTTGCCTGTCCATGCTCGCGCTGCATGCCCGCCTAGCGTATTCCGCGTCTGCGTCCGCACACTCGCGCCGCCAAGGACCCCGCCCCGCGCGTGGAGACGGGCGGCTTCGGCTCTGGCTCCAACCACCTGCGGCCGCGGCAGGGGCAGCCGTCCCGTGACTCCCGTCCCTGTCCCACACGGTCGGGAAGCCGCTGCCGAACGCCTAGGGAAGCGAGATGCCAGCCATGATGATGGTGAGCGCGCTGCGTCCTGTGCGGCGGGGTGCGGCTGGGTTCAGCTCAGGGCTCACGAGGAAGAAGAACAAAAAAGCAGGCTGACGTTTGCAAGCGTGTGGAGCGGGGCGAGGAAGACGCACGAGCTCCTCGGCGGCCGCGCGACGCGCTAGCTCTACAGGCAGCTGCACGGGCGATGGCGCGCGAGCCGCGCAGGTGGCCGCGTAGGCGGTGGCGCGCGAGCCGCCCCCAGAACTTTGTCGTCGCGACCAAGGCCACGGGTGCCGGGACCTCGCTGGCGCGCACGGGGAGCTGCTTCGCTGCGCTCGTCTCTTTGCCCGCGCGGCCTGCCACTTCCTCCGCGGTGACGGCGAGGCTTCGGACGCTCCGGACCCAATGTTGCTTCTATGCGGCTACCGGAGCGCCATCGTGGCTTCTCCTTCCACTGTCGCTTGACCGAAGTGGAAAGAGAAGAGACACAGAACGGATGGCGTTGTCAAAGTTAACAGAAATGCTTGATCTATAACGTTGTGATCTTTCCATGGTATATATCAAAGAACCAATCTTTTAATGGTACATTGCCAAACATGCAATCTTTTGATGGTACATAGCTAATTTTCCCTAAAATAAGTGCCGAGGAAGGATGGCAAATTTTTAAATTGGCCCGCGGGCGCGGCGAATTTCGCCCAGCTTGCACGCGTCCCGCGATTTATGTAGGGGCACGGTACCGTACCAGGTTTTACCCTTTTCATCGACTGACATGACCTGACCGGCCGACCCAACCCAACCCGCTCCATCGCGCCATGTCGTGGCTCGCGCGCTCCATCGCGGCCACCCTCTCCTCGCCGCGCGGCTCCGATGCCGACGAGGCCGACTCCAACCCCGCCTCCGCGCAGAGCGGGGCAGGGCCGGAGGAGGAGGAGGAGGAGGAGTCTCGCCGCGCGACCGCAGCCCTAACCTGGGCCCTGTGGCCGGGGAGCCCGAGCAGCCCGGTACGCCGAGCCGCGGCGTCAAGGACGACATCTCCGAGCTCACTGAAACGCTCACCCGCCGCCTCTGGGGCGTCGCGTCCTTCCTCGCACCGCCCCCGAGCCCGCCGGAGGCCTCCACCCCGCGCGCCGCGACTCCGGCACAAGGTGAAGAGGAGGGGGTTGAGGATGGGGAGGAGGCCGCGGTGCTGTCCCCCCGGATTGCGGGGATCCGCAGCGATCTGGCCGAGATAGGCGGAAGGGTGCGGAGCGGCATCTCGATGCTGCAGAACAACTTGGCCGTGGCCGAGATCTCCAAGATCGCCTCGTCACTCCTGCCGTTCGGGCAAGGGGAGGCGGACGAGGGGGAGCCCGTGCCGGGCGTCACCGAGGAGGTGGTGGTGTTCGTCAGGCACATCTCCACGCGGCCCGAGACATGGCTCGATTTCCCCCTCTTCATCAGCGAGCGCTACGCAGATGGTATGAATTAGGGGCCTGTTAGTGGAGTGATTTTTCAAAATTACAGTGCATTTTGATGAAATGGAGCGCCATCCGTACATGTATACTCTACTTCAGCATTTGGTCGCTATTGACGCGGAAGGGAAGCGATTGGAGCGGGGAAACTTGGTTCAGAACTAATGATTGATTTTTGAAAGATAATTAATGATGTTAGATTCTTTCACTTAATTTTAACGAGGGGGGTTGCTCCTGCCATTCCTCGTAAATAAATACTCCTAGAAAAAAAACATTTATTGGATTGTAGTATGTCATTGATTTGATCCTTAAGTGGTACAAATTACTTCTGCATATCTTTTGCACAAAACAGGGCATCCCATAGTGATTACATTTGTGAATGTTGCTTGACAAAGAGTACTAGTAATTAGTTTTGAAATTTTACGTTCCAGGTTGTTGAAAGGCACTCTGAAGTTAGCACCTTTGCTTTAATTGAATTTTGTGTGGTCAGATTTTTTATGTTACTGGGGGAAGAGAGGGTATAAGAGTGGTAGATGCTTCAGTTTTGTTTGGCTTTTAGTTTAACATCACAATTCTTTACATATTTTAAACAATAGTATGAATTACCTATGGACGTTCTGAATTTCTTCTAACATCATTGGTAATAGCATGCTTGGATGTAACTGAAACCTTCTAGACTTAGGTTTCTGGAACTTTCACATTGTAATTGACCTTTGATGAATATTCAAGTACCCATAATTTCTTATATGTTGGAACTTGGAATGCTTTGATATAGTGCATAGGTTTTCTAATAATTTTTTTTTATGGACAGTGAACATTGATGTATTCTGTATTTGGTTACTGGTACTAGGCTGTTGAGTTAGTTTTGCCATGACCCAGAAACTGGGTCTTTTTATCTGAGATTGTTTGCTTTGAGCTAACAATATATCGTTTAGTTCTCACTTCTGAGAATGGCCTGGTTCACTTGATTAGTTTAGTTCTATGGAAGTAGTTAAATAGGTCTAGGCTGTTACTCTGGAATTGAAAAATATCATCATGCAATCATGCTTGAGTAGTTAAGTGTTACAGTTATGGGTTACCTATATTGGTTGTATGCTTATACCTGCTAGCCTATATTATTCTACTTTCGCTTTGTATAACAAAAGTTGAAAGGAAAAGATTAAGTTTGCAATCTGGACAGTGTAATGTACAACATGTAATTCACATATTAAAAGCTTGTTAAATATCCTTTTGTGGTTAGAACTGGACATCCCTTGGTGTATGCTTTTCGCGGACGATGTAGTGCTAGTTGATGAAAGTTGGACAGGAGTGAATCAGAAACTGGAGTTATGGCGGGAGACTTTGGAGTCCAAAGGTTTTAGACTCAGTAGAACTAAAACTGAGTATATGAGATGTGACTTCGGCACTACTACTCGGGAGGAGGAAGATATTAGTTTGGAAGGTCAAGTAGTGCCTAGGAAGGATACCTTTCGATATTTAGGATCAATGCTACAAAGAGACGGGGATATTGATGAAGATGTTAGTCATAGAATCAAAGCAGGGTGGATGAAGTGGTGCCAAGCATCTAGTGTCCTATGTGACAAAAGGGTACCATAGAAGCTAAAAGGCAAGTTTTATAAGACGGCGATTAGACCTGCTATGTTGTATGGTGTAGAATATTGGCCTACGAAAAGACGACATGTTCAACGGATAAGTGTCGCGGAAATGCGTATGTTGCGTTGGATTTGCGGTCATACAAGAAGGGATCGAGTTCGGAACGATGATATACGTGATAGATTAGGGGTAGCACCAATTGAAGAAAAGCTTGTCCAACATCGGTTGAGATGGTTTGGACATGTCCAACGGAGACCTCCAGAGGCACCAGTGCGTAGTGGAATCCTAAGCCAGGATAGTAACGTGAAGAGAGACAGAGGAAGACCGAAGTTGACTTAGGTAGATGCAATAAAAGGAGACTTGAAAGGATGGAATATACCCAAAGACTTAGCCTTAGATAGGAGTGCTTGAAAAACAGCTATTCACGTGTCTGAACCTTGATTGCTTCTGCTGGGTTTCAACTCTAGCCTACCCCAACTTGTTTGGGACTTAAAGGCTTTGTTGTTGTTGTTGTTGTTGGTTAGAACTTGATTGATCAAACAAAGTTAATTTTGTATGCATCACTACTTGCTTCATAGAATGAATGTGGTACCAATCTCCCTAGGGCTCTGATTTAAGGAGCACAATACCTTAATACAGTACTTTGTAACCTGATGGGAAGTACAACTTTCTTTGAAAATTTGGTTGGGAAGCATATAATTTATGGATGAGAAATAATTAAAATGTTAACGGATCAAATCATCAAATTATGGTTCTGCATCCTGCATTATGATATGTAATATGTAATACTATTTCCATGAGCAGGGAGTACCTTTCAACAAATTTGTTGTCTGCATGAGTGCTTTGTGTTTTATTGATCACAGGAACAAATTCCATTGCTATATGATTTGTGTTGGCCAAAGGGCCTCTAGTCCAACTGGTTAGAGCGTCCCCCGGCACTCCTCAGGTCCTGGGTTCGACTCTCCGTGGGAGCGAATTTCAGGCTGGGGTTAAAAATCTCTCGTCTGTCCCACGCCAAAGCACAGGTCTAAGGACCGGCCTGTTCTCGCAGGGCGACGGTGCCGCTGTGTAAGGGTGGGGCAGGGGTTCGGGGGTTTTCTGGGCCTGCGTGAGAAGATCTTTTTCTTAATGCAATGCCTAGGGGTGGTCATACCCTCGCAGGTCTAGTTTTTATATGATTTGTGTTGCAGTTGTAAATATTTTCTGGAATAAGTAGATTATGTCCTATGTTTGCCTGTTTACTCATATCTTCCTTAGATTTTTAATCCTTGAATGCTTCACCTGAGGCTGTATCTTTTTTCTTTTCCAAAATGCAATCAAAGTTTGTGTAATGGACCTCATTAATTTCCTTTATCCCATCATTGTATCTTACACAGTTTCTCTCTTTCTTCAGATTTTGAACTGTCAGATGCTCAATACGTGCATGCGCTGTCAATAGAGCACCTTGTGCCAGGCTTATCAGATTTAAAGGTTCAGATTTGCTCTACTGATATGACTGAAGCATGTTTCTGGAAGATCTACTTTGTGCTTTTGCACTCGAAACTCAACAAGCAAGATGCTGAACTTCTTTCAACGCCACAGGTATTATCCTGGATCATCCATAGTATATCTATCTCTTGTGACCCAATTTTTTTTATATAATTATGGATTTCTGTGCTATGCCTATTGCCAAGGATGAGAGGGTCAGTAAATAAATAAGTAAACTTTTACCAGCTAGTTACAGTTTTGCTTTGCATGTTGTAGAACAACATAGTCTGCTTCTTTCCTTAGCTTTCATTTTTTGCGCCACACTTTTACTTTGTTTCCACCTATGTTTATAAGGGACCTTAATGATCTTGTTATCTACACAGATCCTAGAAGCAAGGGAGCAGTTGTTGCAAAGTTTACAGTCTCAGAATAAGCGGGGATCCAAGGTTCCTGGTGAATCATCAGAAAGTTCGAATGCATCCTCTGCTCCTCCTGAAGAGAAGGTGATTCAACCTTCAATCATCCGAGATAAAGCTGACACTCCAGAGAAATCATCGTTTGAAGAACCTTCTTCTGATATCACGCCCGAAATCGTGTCCGAAAAATTCCCAATTTCAACCACTGAAGTGGAAATGGTTGACAAGTCAGTGGTTGAGGAAGAGTTGGCAGTGACAAAGGAGAGCAAGACTTCACCCGTCGAGTCCAAGCTTCGCTTTGAGACTGACGAAGAGGAAGTCGACGAATGGCCTGACGATGATCCTACCGACGAGGTTGTCCAGGCAGGCAACAGAGCTTCACTAGGACAGGAGGAGGACGTATCATTCAGTGATCTGGAGGACGACGAGGACGATGATGATAGGAATAGAAGGGACGGGCAATAGGCAATAGCCAAGTTGGCAAGGTAAGCTCATAGTCTGGTCCTGGCGCACAATCATGATGATCCCCGACACTCCGCGCAACCACATGCTGGCTTCATTGGAGTAGTAGGGCCGAGATCACATCCAAAGATCATTGCTTTGTTATTATTAGAGTCCGGAAGTAATGAATCCAAGCAGTTGCTCGGTCTTGGATACCCCCTGATGCGGAATCGTAATAATAAGCATGTCTCTTGCCGCCCGTGTTATTAGTGCTAATGGCAAGTACTGCATCTGTATTATTGGCCCCGTCCTGTAGTTTATATGTACATAGAGAGCGCTCCCGGTTGGGCCTTGTGTAAACCTACTACTACTATGTCGATCTGAGTTTCGTAGTCGCTGGCGGCTGGTCCATTTCATGCAAGCAAATAATTGAGATCTGAATAGCTGATCTTGATGAAGATTGGCAACTGTGTCTACTTATGATATTTACAGTCGGTATTCGGCAAAGCTATCGTGGCCTTGTTGATTCTGGGCTGCATCAAGCATTCAAGCCTTTCTTTTTTTTCCCCATCTGAAACATAGGCCCATAGCCAGAGTGCAATCAGTAGCGTTTGCGTTTGTATTTGGTAATAATTGTCAATCGTTGACGTCTGCTGGTCCTGCAATTAGTTTTTTCTCAACATTTAACTACATGCATTATCCTGACAGCGTCAAATTAGGAATTTAACATAGCCAGAATCTGACGTCTGCTGGTCCTTAGTCTACTCCTGACAGCACGTTAACCACGCAACGGCGAGCGCGAAGCAAGCAGTGTACGTCGGCTTGGACACACCCGGGCGCCCGGGCGCGGTGAGGCGAGGGGACGCGCCGAGGGGAACGGCGGATGGCGCTCGTAGCGTGCCATGTTCTTGTGCTTCAGAAACCGCGCTGGCAGAGGCAGAGTCGAGTCAGGTGGGCGCGGGCGGGCGGGGCGAGGGAGCGACGGGACCATCCGCCTTTCGGCGGAGGCCGCCCGCCTGCCGGGCCAATTCCGGCAGCCAGCGTCGGTCTCTCTTTCACTGTCCAGTCATGCAGTGAGTGAAGCGACCGACCCACCGGGCAGGGGCGCAGGGCAGGGCAGGGCATCGCATCGGCATCCGTTCCGCTCAGCGTGTCTCGCGCACGCAGGTTGCCGGCCGTAGGTGCGGCGTGCTGCCTGTGCCTGCCCTGCGGCTGCGAGCGTTTCCGTCTGACCTGAGACCATCCACCGGTGACTGACTGGTCGGCAGAGCGGTCTGGAACTCTGGATGGAGCCCATGTGAGGCCGCACGCACAGTAGCGAGGGAGCTGGTGCGCGGGCGGCACGCACCAAATCCGCACCTGACGACGGCGCGTGCAGGTGCAGTCAAACTGGGCACGCACATGGGGCGGGACGGACACGTCCAGTTGCCCCGGCCAAAAACCACGGCCACCTGCTGCTGCGTTCGGCTCAAAAAAAAAAAAACGGGGGGCACGGACGGTACACGCCGTGCTCTTGCTCCCAAGTCCCAGACGCGTGTACGTACTCTGTACCGGCTTTACCGTCTCACGCGGCGGCATCCACGCGCGTGCCGGCGTGCGGGCGCGAGTGTCACTGGCGGATGGCACGTCGCCGTCCGGGAACTCGAGCTTGTTTACGGGCAAATTAGGGACCTGTTTATATGGGGATTATCATCCGGCGTGGAAAGCGTGTCTGATTATGTCCGAGATCTCGAGCGCGATGGGGACGTTGCGGGAGGGTCTCTGTCCTCTTTCCTCGCAGGATTGGAGTCGGAGCCATGTGCGCTGCCTGCATTTGGCACCCGATTCTTCTTTTTCCACATTCCACATTCTAGCCGGGAACAGCGACTTGTAAAAGCTGATACGGTTTCCTATGGAGCTAATCGCTTCGAAATGTGGAACCAGTGTAACAATTTTAGAAGCTAGTAATAGCACTTTGTTCTTCTGGAGGAAGAGAAAGCGGGAGAAGCTGAAGACTGGAGACCCTACTACTGCCCAACCAAAACTGAAACCTCGGTTCAGTCAGTCTGAACCTGCCCAAACACTCAAACCGATGGACCATCCGTCCCCACCTCCCTCCCAATCTTCAAGTGCCCAGAAGCCAGAACTGAAGGACAATGGAAAATACAGCAGCTGGTCCGCAGAAACCACTAATAATAAAACCCAGCAGATGTGTTTGTCACTTGAGAGCTACTAATAAAATTTAATGATGTCAGGTCGCCAATTGGAAGATTAGGAGGGCAAGCGCCATCAGGCGACAGGCCAAACGAGCCGACTAGTTACTAGCATTTCCTATTTATGATCTGTTTGGCACAGCTCAACTTCACTAATAAAACTTTTTTTAAAAAAACAGTTTCATTAGTAACTTTCTAGGTAAAACTGATCTGTTTTGCAAAAACTGTTTGACAAAACAGCTTCATTAACAATTTCATACATGAATGAGAGAGAGAAATGAGGAAGAGAGCTTATATATTTTTTTCCAGCTTCATCCTAACTCATATCTTTGTTAGAGTTGGAGAAAAAACAACTTAATAGGTAAAACTATTTTGAAAATAAATATTTGAGAAATAAAACAGGTCACAACAAGCGCGGTGCCAAATAGGCCTTTACTTCCACATGGATTGTTGCAGAGGGACACACTCATGGATTGCTGTCCTTTTCAAGGATGGGGACAATTAATCACGCAAACAAACATATCCCTGCTAAACGCACATGATGAGGCCAAAGAAAAAGACAGCATGTAGCAAGATGGAACACGGCATTTTTTGGGGGGGCTTCAACAGGCTCCATTTGTGAGCCACACCACCATTTGCCCTTCACAGTATACTACTTCTAGGAGATGTACCTCAATAATCATGGTAATTGATTGATTGATCAAATACACGGTGAACACAAGTATTATCTTCATTTGAAGGTAAGGTCTGTCATCAAAAAGAAAAAGAAAAAGAAAAAGAAAGAGAAAAGAGCCCGTCCAGGGACAAATATTCTTACAAAAGAATCGAAACCTGAAAGAATAAAAGCATCTCACAGGCTAAACCCAAACTATACCTATCTACAGCTCCGCATTTCAGTATCTCTGGTGAATCTTCTGGCCCCTGGAACAGGGACCAAGGTTTTCCTCGTGTAACCATCAAAGAGGGGCGACGCTCTTCCCTTTACAAAGAGCCCTTTGATGCTTGCGAAGATTTCTTCAAGCAAAAAAAATAACCCATTATACTCCTCATAGCTATCAATCCACTTGCTCGCCAATGAGGTCAAGGCCGACAACCAAGAATGAGACCCCTTGGAACAGGAGGAAGTAGAAATGGATGCCCTGGGCAGACAGCAAACTGCGGGCGGCTGCTGTTAGCAGAAGGAAGGACAGTGCGAGTTCCTTCCTGTAGATCCTGTTGTGCTTCTTCTTCTTGGTGTCCTTTTTAGGATTTGACTCCTCCTTTGTTAGTGTGTCAAGATTGGGTGCAGAACCTACTCTTTGTTGCTTAGAGTGTTTTTCAACGAGGGCTAGGAGATCGCCCTCAGAAGAACGACCTGATTTCTTGGTGACAACCCACTCGTAGGCACTACCGAGCTGGAACAGACCAGAAATCATGGCATTGAACTTGGTAACCGACATGGTGTTCTCAAACAGAAGGTATGGAACAATGAATGGGAAAGATTTTGGGGCCGGGAGGATGTTGAGGATGGACATTGTTGCTGGAATGTAGCATACTACCCATGCAGGGAGTTCAGCTTCAGGAACGAACATTGTCATGGGAAGGATGACACAGAAAAGAGTGAATGAATAGAAGGGTAGGATGAGCTTCCGGAGGAGGAAGAAAAGGAATATGAGATTGAACTTCTTCCAGAATCCAATCTGCAGTAGAAAGGAAGCAGCAACATCAGGTCAGCTATCCAATAACCTTATGCCTACACTGTGCAAGCTTGAACAGAAAAGCTCAAATGTGAAGAATAAAAGACAAACCACAATGGACTCATAAATTATGGTAGACTAAACAAACGATTCAAATGAACCGAAAAAAGAAGATGCATAAAGGCAAGAGAAGCATAGCAACTACTTGAAAGATCAGATTCTAATTTGATGTTTTACATTGTTATTACAACAATGTAGCTGACGTTTCATAGTAATTACTTCATTTTGTGGCTTTTCCTATGAAACCAAATAATATAATGGGAAAGGCCGTTGTAAATAAGATACATTTTACTGGGCATGCTTAACACTTTTTCCAAACATTTTAGCTTTCACAACGTGCCTACAGACAAAAAAAGTGCCGTACCTTAGATTTTATTATATCCACAAAGCAGAGCCTAAACAATTGCATGGGACCTGAGTGCCACCGGTGCTGCTGCTTTCTGTATGCTTCATAGGATTCTGGCAATTCACACTGACACTGAAAGAGAAGTTACACAGGTTAAGTTATCATGTCTTTACGCAAGGCATATTCTGCTTAAGCAGCAGCGAATACTGGCCAATACCTCAACATCGTTTAGGAAGAGAAACTTCCACCCCTTGAGATGTGCTCGAACAGCTATGTCCATATCCTCCACTGTTGTCCTCTCCATCCATCCTCCAGACTCCTCAAGTGCCTTAATTCTCCACACTCCCGCGGTGCCATTGAACCCGAAGAAGTTGAGAAATGCCCCATTCACCTGCTGCTCCACCTCAAAGTGGAAGCAAAGATTTATGTTCTGAAGTCTGGTCAGCAGGTTCTCATCCTTGTTTACAAAAGACCATCTTGCCTGAACCAACCCGACGTCATCCTTTCCCTGGAAATTGCACACTCAAATTCTCAGAAAATATATCTAATAGGACTAACTGTCAGGTACAGCAGCTACCATTGTACAATTGAGCAAACCTTGAAATGGGGCACAGTGCGCTTCAGGAAATCCGCTTGTGGTTGGAAATCAGCATCAAAGATGACAACAAACTCATAATCTTTCACATAACTGCAGTTCATGGCTGATTTCAGGTTTCCCGCCTTGTAGCCATCCCGGATCACCCGGTGCCG